GTGCAGAAAGTATTTGCGTACACCACCGTTTCCACGCTTGTAGAGGCAACTTTTTTACATTGCGTTTTGTTCGTTTTAGGAACTGTTTCAGGGACCCAGATGACATATATTCCGTTATAAATATAACCTGAGAAATAATATAAAAGAAACGAATTAATAAAAAAATATGCAAACTGTATCGATTTAAAGGCAACAGAATTATGCATGACTAGTTGATATATAACTTACTCGGGGTTTGTCATTATGGGTATCTGTCCAATACCTATGAAATTTAACAATGTTAGGGTGCTCCAATTGCGTGAGGTTCTCAAAAACGAGTTGTATCTTTTCTTCCTGGGCCTTGAAGTTTTTCCTTTCCGAAAATTGCACCTCATTCCACACGACTTCGACACCTTCCTCTGTATCCATCGCCAGATAGGCACAGTCAATTCCTGGAACATCTCTTTGTTCCACCTGTAAACAAACACTAGTTTCTAATCCATACATCTTTATAATTACCTTAATGAAAAAAAAGAACTAAGAACTATTAATTTATTAGAGAAACTTATAAACAATGTGGTGTAACATTGTGTGTGGTGCTGTTACGTATGTAGTATCTGCATCCAATTATACCCGAATTTACATACGCCTATTATCCGAATACTCGTTATTTCGGATATTTATGTGGTTTGTTAAATACACGAATATATTGTAACGACACTTTGTAAATACGTGCTATAGACTGTGACCGAGTAGGTTTATTCAATGCAATCTACGAGTCTATACATATATAGTATAATGGATTGTATTACTGTAATAGTCCATTTTAAGTGTACTTAAAGTAGTGTTGAAACGATTTCAACGCCTATTTACTATTACATGAATGTGACCTTGTCAGGAATTTGAGGAGGGGGAGATAATTCAGAAGAGGGTTTGCCACGCTGTAGACGTTAGTGATAATAATGTCGAACTTGTTCATAATAGTATAATGCATGTAAATTGTTATTGTCTCCATTCATTAGTATAATTCTGTGTAAGATATTCTAAAGTGTAAAATATTCTAGAGAAATAATGGCTCGACGTAGGTACAACAAAACATAGGAATCATTCTGCATCATCCAGTTTTGCAATGTACGTACTTCCATTTCAGGAATTTCGTTTTCAGTTCCTCTCGTTGATCCAAAGCTAGAACCTTCGGCTAACGTTGATTTGGAACCTACATATACCTGGAATAGGTACACACGTTCCATGATTAATAAAGAATATATCAAGCAAATATATAGATTTATATTTCTATGCACAGACATATCTATTTCACAAGATCTACTTCATAAAAGATAAAATTTTCATCTATTTTCATAGAAAGTATTATTTTTAAAAAAATGAAAAAAAAAACTGAATAATACTTACTTAAAAATCGTAATACTCACTTTAAAAAATATATATACATCGATAACTCAAAAGGATTAATGATAAATTATAAATTTTAGTCATTGTTAAATACAAAAGCACACGTGGCAATAAACAATGTTAGAAAAAAGCTTAATATTATTTGTAATAAAAAAATGCGTCTTAGTTTTATGATAGTGCGATCGGTGAGAGAAATATTCTCAAAATATGACCAATAATCATATTGGAGTAAAAAGTCCAGATGGAAAAAGCGAGTAAAAAAATAGGATAAATTAATATTAGAATAGGCCATAAAACCGAGTATAAAACTAATATTTATTAACACATGCTCTATTCTCTACGGAAAGGCAGGAACTGCATGCGAAATAAGCATGATCAAAATAATTTCATTGATTTATACATTCGATAACAGAACGTCAGCAGTCTATTTTTAGGATAAAATATGAATGAGCCCTAATATTGGTTAGACATTTGTGCCAAGATTTCGGTACGGTAGATTAAGATACAGGTAAGATACTATACTGAATAATGAGAGAAGCACAATAGTCCAAAGGAGAGGCACATTTCATGCAGGGAAAAATCTCTAAAAAGCTTTTTATAACAGCACCATCTGGGTACATACAACCACCTGTATAAATGCAAATGTGAAATGAGTTACGTTAATAAGTATTTATTACAACGCAATTGAAACAAAGGCATTTTAGACAAATTTGCATTCACGAATATCGTCGAATATTGCTGTTTAAGAGACATTTGTAAATTAAAATACAGAGAAACGTGAATAAGATACGAGCGGAGGGAGGGGGAAGTCTTTACTTTGATACTTCTAAATATATTTACAAGTCACAGTATAATTATAGTCCAGTCGCATTATGTTAGAATATGTTTTGCACGTTGTGAAGATAATGATCTTTAAGATGCATTAAGATGCAAGAGCAAGAACACATAATATCTTGGATATTACTATTCTAAATTATCATAATTTGGCCGTAGAGACCTACGAACACAGGAAATTGCACCGATAGCATTCACAGTTAAACAGATAGTTAAAATCAATTAGTTAGGTAGTTAGGATCTATACGATAAATCAACCTGATGAATCACGTTTTGACATTGATAGGCCTGTTCTTTTCAGCTAAACTTCTTGCACGGTTCATCCTTCCTCTCTTTCTTTTCACATTGGAGAGAAAGAAAGAAAGAAAGAAAAGATGAACTCTGCAACAAGTTCAGGTTCAAGTAAAAAGAATAGGCCTATTGTTTTGATAATAATTAAAATCCATGGCAGGTGAGGTTCCTCTAATGAACCACTACCATTACCATGATAAATGGAAACCGAAAGTGAAAATGGAAAAAAAGAGTAAAACATTTCGAAATTTTTTCTCGATCCTCGTTACGTGGTGAAAGCTTCAAGCTTCAAGCGGTAAACGGTCATGCAAAAGTGCTTTACCTCTGCGGAGGAACGAATAAGGATAAAGGGAGTAAACAGGACGTAGCGCAGTTAGAAGAGTTTGAAGAAACGTTATACCTCTTCCCGGCGCTTAAGCCACCGCCCGCACGGGCTCTCCTCCAGGATCTCGCTCTCATCCTCCGAGTCTTCACCACTTTCCCGCGGTGACTTGTGCTCTGGGTCCGTGCTGGAGCGGCTCCCGGGCATCACACACGCTTGCGATTAGTTAGAGAGGCAGCAGCGAACAGCAGGTCAAACTCATCGGTGACGAGATCTCCAGTGCGGTGCTCTCTTCTAGTTTCGCATCGGGCGACACGCCACGGCAACGACCGGCGACGTACTGACTCCTGGATTAGGCGGATGCACGCGGAGAACAGCGGCAGCCGCGGCGTCGTCGATGTCGGTTACAGCGGCATCAGCGGCATCAGCGGCATCAGCGGCATCAGCGGCAGCGACGACGTCGACGGCGACGATGACGACGTTAGCGATGACGGCGATGACGATGACGACGACGACGATGACGACGGCGACGGAGATGGCGACGGCGGCGACAGTGGCAATAACAACAACAATAACAATAATAATAACAAAGTCGCGTTACTCGCGCGTAACAATGCGTAGGTAGGTAGATACTACGTGTCCGCTGGCTCGCACTGCACTCACAAGTGACACATGCAGGTGCACACGCAGCGCGCCCGCTCGTCTCCAACTGGCTGAGACCCGGAGCGGCGATATTTCTGATCTTACGCGACGGACGCGCGCTACACGACGCTACACGGCTTCGCTCAGGGACGCGCCGCGGTGATGAGCATCGCGCTAGCCGCCCGCGTATCGCACTGTCAAAATAAAACCTCCCTATTGCGAGCGAAACTGCCTCGATGTGACACACACTCTGGCACTCATTTTCGTTATGTCTTCGGTCACGTTCGCCCACCCGAATGGTGTCCAGTTGGGCGATACACCTCTCGGCCGCGACCGCCGCGCCGCCTGTCGGCCAGCCCGCCGCGACAACGCCCCCTCGGGGAGCTTCCGCGCGCGCGCGCGCGATTGAATGGCGCCGCCATCGGACCAATCGCGTAAATTCTGGTGGAAAAATGACGCAGAATTTTTTATATTTTTAATTAGAATTTGTATGAAAATTTTGAGTCTGTTTTCTATTGCTAAACCGGCTGCACTAGTTCAGAGTTTATCTTTTTAAATCCACATCGGAAGGAAAAAGAAAAAAAGCCGGCTAAAATCTTCAAAAATCACTCACAATCAGAAGGGTAACCTTCTGTGTCAAGGTCAAGGTCATCGGAGAGTGGCTCTGCATAATTACCAAATTGATAAATTGACGTATGATGAAGTTGGTAGCATAAAATTTCAGGATCGCCACAGAGTCGTCACAATCGAAGAGAACACGACGCGACTGTTGTTCCTTTGGTTCGTGCCGATGTTCAAACGAGATATCGATGTTTTTATGCATTTTTCAATTTTCCTCGATTTTCTCCTTTTTGTCCCGACATATATCTTAAATGCAATTAAGAGCAGATTTTGCGTCCATTATTTTTTTACTTATAACTTCTTTTTCTCTTAAATACTTCCTTTAATACTTCTTATATAATAATAAAACTGAAATAAAAATAGAAAAGGAATTAGAACTTGAATTCCAAAATGATAAAATATTTATAAAAGTATTCAAATATTAACAAATTGTAATACACAATACGTTGCATTATTAAAAAGATCGCGTCATTTAAGGCCATACACGATAATCGATATCTCTAATATCACTAATATTCCCATATTACTCATCTCTCTTATTCTACAAATATTGATTAATGGTATCGATTCCGTTGAAGATAAGCCAATAAAAAGCGGAAGATTTACTCGAAACGATAAAGGCTTTTACGATTACTTTTCAGATTCCATAAAGAGTTCATTATAAACAAATAATACACTTATGGAGAATCGATCTTTTGAATCTTGACGACATTCGCTATCGATACCTCAGAATCTCGATGTTCTCGATACTATCGCGCACATATTCCCAGATTCCCACATTAGCGCATATATTTTTATTTCTTTATTGAATAATTAGGAATTTCTCGTTCTTTGATGACTTCTCCTCACTTCTCCTTGCCCTATCCTTATCAAAGATTATTATTAATGATATTTCCATAAAAAACTGGGAACTCGTATCTCGCTAGGATGACTCAAATTCTCGCGTTCGTCATAATATGATTTTGCTGACGTGGTTATGTTTATTCCCTCACATTCCCTGGATTCCGCGTGATGCGTGATGCCAAATGCCAATACGTTCGGAGAAGAGCGTCCGTCGCCGTCGGACTCACAGTTTGCCGCTTCGCGCCCGTGACACACCGTGTAACGAGAAATAGACACGCGTTAGATAAATTCTGTTGACACGATTACGAGAGGCATGTCGGCGATATTCCAAATATCCAAAAATAGCAGATATCGCAGTTCCACGCGTCGCGCACGTGCGACTCTTTAGGAGAACAACAATGAAGGCTCCTCTATCGTCCGTGTTTTTTTATTAATTAATTACTTTGCTGGTACACTTATTATTTTTTTTACAAAGCTACAGCTTGTACAACAAGAATGTCACTCGTGGAAACATTACCTTTGCTAGATGGGGCGAAAGTAATTGTTATAGACGAAGGTTATATTCCTTTATTAAGTATTCTTTTATTAACCCTCCGTCTGTATACATGGGTCTACGGTGTCCAAGTCAAAATATCTGCTCGTAATTGTAAAACTTGCAAGCCTGCCAGGAATAAACGTTGTATTAAATAAATATTGTTTATCAAAATACCTATAAAATTGTCAACTACAATGTAGGCAGATGTTTCATGGTTTTTTTCAGATTTCTTAAAATACTTTTAAGATAGGGAAAAATAGCGTCGAACGTGACAGACCCATGTATACACTCTGAGAGCGCAAAAAAAACCATATATAGTCGGAGAATTGAGTACAATCTAAATTAATCTACATTTTTTGTAAATCCTAATTTCTTTGCATAGGTCTAGATGTAACGCATGCGACAGCATTGATAGCCGGATGGGTGAACGTGTGGAAGGAGAAGAATTCTGACTACAATATCGATTTGTTGTCATTTTCCGATCCAAAGGCTTGGTACGACGACGAACCAAAACCGCTCATATCACCGAATGTAAACTTGCACGATTACTATGATGTTTATCCGAATGAAAACATTGAGAGTAAAGACTTGGAAAATCTCGATTATATACTCGAAACTGTCAAGTTGAAGCCTCAAAATACGGTTGTTGTCAATTGTTTGAGTTCTTTGGTTCTGTATGTGGGTTTGGGAAAAGCTCTGCGGTTTGTGGAGAAGTTAAGTAGGCAAGTGTCGCAATTGATATGTATTTATCGGAGGGATTTCATGCAGATCAAAGTTCCCGCAATCGAGACTTTCGGCACTACTTATGTCAAACTGGAAAGGTTTACCGGAGTCAACCCTACAAACAATTTAATTTATAATGCTAAGCTCACCCATAGAAAGTCGGGTGGTTCCATGATATGCCAAACAGAAATAATAAGGCAGGATATTGAATCTTATCGGATCAATGCTGAAAAAGTTGTGGTACCAAGGATCCGCAAGACGGAACCAGAACCAGTAAAGATTGAAGCGTCATTTAGAATAGAAATGAGCGCTCAGGAGATGGACCAAAGGGACAAGACACCTTTACCCTACACTTTGAATGCAACAAATACATCCAGGATATTTTATCAACCGGAAGATGTAGATGATATAGATGAAGAGGATCCTGATGATGATCTGTGCATATAAGTTTATAAAAATAAAAGAATTTGTATGCAAAAACTATATAATATAACATATATTTTATATAAAACAAAAACTTGTTAAGCGCATATTTTTTATATTTCATTGGGAGACAAATTTTTCCGAATCTTGAGGGTAAATTCTTAGAGAAAAATACAAAAATATATATTACATAGATTGGAAAGAGACAGAAAGTTGAATCTTTTTTTGAGTTATATCAGTAATAAAAGCGATACAAGCTTTTAAATATATTTCGAATACTGCAGGGATATTTTTTCTAAAATTCGAAATTAAATTGTCGGAATTGATTACTTCGCAACTGCAGTGTATGAAATATTATTTCTTATGAATATTACTCGAATCCTAGAAAATAAATGATTAATGAATTTGAAGTACGGATTTTGAAGTACATATTGAACTTGTTATCCTTAGTTATAATGCATTGTATTAGTGTATTAGTGTTATCAATTTATGATTCAGATATCTTACTTCTCTAGTGATTTAGAAAGCGTTAATCACTTCCGGAGTGACTCAAACCTGCTTAAATCGAAAACGTTATTGGGGAGTTTCTACTGTAACATTTTTAATTTTCGAATTTTTGGACAATCACAACTTTTGATGTACATGCTCCTCTGGGAAAAGGGTAAAAATTTTATTGCACTTCTGATATAATTGTCGTGTATTTATTACTCACACACATCAACTTACACAGCACTTATAACACAGATTTATTTTAATAAATAAAACGATAAACATTCACAATATACAGAATAAAATCATATGAATAGAAATTTACAATAAATTTTTAAGTTTTTCGAGACGTTTCATTACTCCGTAATCCTTAATAACCTGTTCAATATAATTAACATTGCCAAGACGATTTAAATATTTTCCATATTAATCTTCTTCGACTTCTTTGTTGTTCAATCATCATTTCCCTGACACTTATATCACATTCTTAATTAAATGTATCGTAATAAATAATCAAGATCTTTATATAAAAATAGCTTCCTTTAGTATTAGAACAATTCAATTGTTAAACTATGTGTTGAGAGTGCAATATGCCATATACTAAACACAGCCTTTACTCATTTTATAGTCACAATAAACTAGTTAAATTGTACCTAATACTGTTGCTGTTCTCCAATAATAATAATAATAATAGGAATATGTCTACACTGTGCAACGTAAATTACATCGCATTTTATTACTGTAAATGTTCAAAAAGATGTCATTTTCATCGATAAATGATATTTTTCCACGAGAAGTGGAGAAATATTATTTATATAATCCGAAGAATATTTTCTATAAACTGCACCACTTAAACATAACTAATATAAAACTATACAAAATTGTTCAACTAATTTGTTACGTATTTACTTTTATAAGTTATTTTGAACGTATATATAATCAAACCTTTGTATTCATAGCGCATCTACTCTCGATCAATTCAGCCTCTATAAATTTAACTTCTTTTTCCTCTTGTTACTTTATACTTACTGTTTTATGTACAAATGAAATGAAAGAGACTAGTGAAATTATGAACGCTTCGTAAACAAAAATTAGGCAATTTGTTCCATCAAGGAAATCCGAAAAGAAGAAAAAGAAATTATAGATACACATGACTGATATGATTGTGTATATTTCCATTTTGTGCATATCACTAAAATATGTGAAAATTGAAAAGACTAGGAATGAAGAGATTGCTCAGACCAAATAAATAAGAAACATCGAAGTTTGACTATATGCTGTCAATTATCATTATAATAAAATTATTTTTGTTCCTCATTCGAATATCTGTTGTCTGAAATGTAATACAAATGGAACTATCTTGTCTTGTCGGAAAAATTTTACCAAACGTTCGGAAATTGCATAAAATTATGCATTAAACGTGTAAAGGAGATTTTGGTCGTAGAAGTGGTGTGTACCATCGACATGTTGCAGAACTCTGCTCTCTAACAAGCAGCGACCATATTGCACGGCATCCTCTCGGTTATTGACAATGCCAACTTCGAGCAACCAGTTGACCAAATCTGTTCCTGAAAAGACTCCTCTGTATACCCTCAATAATCGCCTACGACACATGGATATGCGTGCTCGACACGCGTCTAAGTGACATCGACTAAATTGTTCTCGAATATCTTTTACTTCTGGACTGAGAGCTTCCTCACAAGGAAGTTCCAATTCTCTTCCTATCAAAATTACAAAATATTATTAAATATATATGTATAAAATCAATCAATAATATAAAATGTGTATTATATCATAAAGATACTGTACCACATTGCCATTTTCTGCATATTTTCCGCAGCCAACATCCTAATTTACCCAAACTAGGATCTAATCCAAAAATAGCAAACGCTATTAATGATTGTCCGAAATTCAAAGTCACATCTAAGAAGGCAAGCTCGGCATAAATGCCAGTTAGCTGTTCCATTATTAATGTTCCCACGGATATAGATAAGCCCTGTAATATGTATATCAAAATTAATTTTGCGATCTTAATATCTAAGTAAAGAAAATAATAATTTACGTACAATAAACATGGAGCATAACAGCAAAATAAGAAGAACCAGATGTCGCAAAATCTGAGGATCGTTATTTTCGTTTGTTCCATTTTCCTCCTCACAGTTACTTCTATCTTCACCAGCTCTGCATGCTCCATTCGGACAACCATTTTGAAATTCACAGCCAAACCTAAAAGCGTTTATATCAACAGTTAATTTACAGATTCTTGATTTCTTCACATTTACATACTTTTATTTTGAATGGACTTACCTGGGTGTTGCATCAATTAATGGAGAAACTAAGTCTTCCACATCTACTACGGTTCTTTCATTACTTTCGATTGTAGACTGTACTGCATTGTTACTCAGATGTTCATATGACATCGCATTGTGCCTTCTTTCATATCTCTGTTGTAAGACCAAACAACCTAGTGTCACTGTGGACAGAATAGTTATTACAAAATTTTCATCTAACAATAAGATTCTAAATACGTACTTCACAATGACACAACGTAATAATAGTAATTTGAAAAATAAAAATTGCTTGTACTGTAAATAATTATTAACACTTCTCGTAACATACCTATAAAGCAGAATATTAATACGAATGAAGACACAGCAGCTTGAGTCCTGCCTAATTGAAAATTCGGATTTTTAAAATCAAGATCAGACGGATTTAATCTAACAGTGATGCATGTTAATGTCACCATTAGAAGTGGCACCCTGTAAATTAATACACACATTATATATAATAGACATCGAATATAGTGAGGTATGGAATTTAAAGTAAGCTAATATGTTCGTACCCCCATCCAAGAGGATAAAACCATTTAATCAGATTTTCAACGAAAGATAATGAGCGCGAACTCAGAAATAGTAATGTTGCTGCAATTGCGGCTGTAAATATTCTGCTGGCATATACACCAGTAGTTATTAGAATAAACTGAATATACCTGTAATTAATAAGAATGATGAAGAAATTTTATTCGATAAAAGTCACCGAATAACCATTTAAAGTTTTATAATTACCATAATATTGTCTGATTGTTATTTGAATCAAGTTTTGACCACATTATCACACCTATTGCTATTGCGAACTGAAAATAAAAAATATTTTGTACAAAACTGAATACGTAGAAATGTATACTTGCAATAAACTGAATATGTAAAACATACCTGTGCAATCACGAGGCAGAGAGTGCATCGGTGAGTGACTTGGTTGTACCTTTTACGTCCAAATCCAAGGAAACATATCAACAACCATATACAAGCTGTTGCTGACACAACGCTTATATCGAAGGAAAAAGTGTTAAGCTGCCGCGCATAACTAACTGGTGTCATTCCAGCGGAAACGGCATTGATTACTTTAGCCGATACAAACATAAGCGGTGCAGAGAGAAACGTACAAGCTACCATAGCTGATGCAATTAAGTCGATCTCGAGATTGTATCGTAAAGTGAAAATAAATAGAGCCGGTGCCGTCGGGATTGTACCATACAGAAAGCCGTAGGTACTCAAATCTCTCGTCTCTGTTACATTATCGCCGGCGTTCAAAAGAATTATAGACTCTCTTATGACTAGAGGCAAGACTAGCAGCTTCACCGAGATCAGTATACCCGGGATAACCAGCGCTGTACCTTTTAATTTGTGTATCTTCCCTACCATCATTAAGCCGAGGAGGAACAATGCGCTAGCAGAGAAAGCATTGCCTAGCACCTCGAGTATCGCGGCGAGCAAATGTGGTACATTGTGTTTGAAGATAAGATTTCCTATAATGCCCAAGACCGTCATGAAAAGCACGGGATTTAGCACGACGCCCTTCACGATGGAATAAACCATGTCTCTACAACTTGTGTGCTCCTCCACACGTCGTTTATTTATCTCCAGTAATATAAAACCAATTGGGTTTAAAATTGCCAGTGATATGGGAGCCATCAAATACAGATAAGCGGCGTACTCCGGGTGCGTTTTTCCATAAAGAGCGTAAACTGAAATAGCGATATTCAATGTGAGACATATTAGATAATACGTAACATTGTGGAATCGCGCACAAACGTGCTTTTATTCTTACTCATCGGATATCCAATAGCGAAGTCATTGCTCTGAGTGGTAAATATTGCAAAGAGCGCAGAGCGTCCAGGATTTGATGGCTTCTTGATTACCAACGAAACCGCAAGCACAGCGATGAAGACGCAGCTCTTGGCGAGCAATACGGCGAGGAGAAATTTCCAATTAACCAGCGTAAAGTCGAGTTTCGCCAGGGACATAAAAATTAAAGACGGCAAAGCAAAAGTGCCGACAAAAGTATTCATGCCATTTGCCTCTGTCTTCGTTATCACACCGAATCTTCCTGCTACATATCTGTAAAATGTAAAATCATAAAGTCATGCGTCATAAGATATAAAATCTTTATTCAAATGTATATGAGGGAGCCTAAAAATAACATTGTGCAGATTTGAGTGCATATTCAAACTCTTAATAAAGTTTTTCAGGCTATCCTGGGCAGAAGCGTATCCTTACCCGCATAGTATAATACCGAAGCATTGTATCAGCGCAAGATACAAGTTATCAGTTGGCTCACTCTCCGTCTCTGCATATTGATTTGTGCTTAACGACAAAGATGTCGATACGGTATTTCCTTCACTAATCTAAATTGGGAAGAAAGTACAAGATATATAACTTATGTTTTACGTAACATTAACTTGAAGATAACAGTGATTTATACATCTGTAATTTATATACCATTTTTTCTGCTATAATGTGAAAAGTATTATCATCTCTTTAATATATCGTTAAGGCTATAAAACTGATCCCCTTGCGCAATAAACTCGTATGGCATTGTCCTCATGTCTCCATTAATATAAGGAAAGGATACGTGTGTCTCAAAATTATAAAACCACCTGCAAGCACAAATGTTTCTCAGCTCCTTACGTAATTGCAAAATCCTTTCACGTTCAATTCCGACTTGCATTCTATCAGATTTCTCGATAACGTTCAGAGAACAAGGAAGATCAAAGAATCGTGAAGTGATATATGTACTTTTCGATATGCACAGAAAAACACACACGCGAAGAGTATGCATCTTATGTAAGGCCAGTACAGAGAATGCTTCGTCGGCGGAGAAGAGGCGAGATTAAATTATCTGCATTTTCTTCTCCCCCGACAGTCGATCGCCGGTCCAAGTTCTCGCCAATATTCGAACATATGTTCAAAATCATGAATCGACACTCGTCGCACCAATTATTACCTAAAATATCACTGCATACGAAAAAATCGGTTAGTCGGGATGCATGTTTCCGCCCTGCGGAATGCGGCAAACGAAAAATATCGCGCAAGTTATCTGGATTTTTGCGCCGTGAGATGAATAGATTCCCATTAAACCGCTACGCAGGAGCAAAGTCCGGCGTAGCGTAGGCCATTCACGACGAGCGCGAAGTCACGCACGACGCAAGTCACGCAAGACCAGGTAATTCCGCGCAGTCGCGAAAATTAAGGCCCTTGCACAATGTCAGGCAAACCAAAAATTCGTTAATTACAACTTAAAAAATTCGAATGCTATGATTTGTTGGCAACAAGTAATATACTACGTTTACGCGAGCGTTACTTCCGTAGTACTTAACTTATTACGATAATTCCTTCGCGTAAACGGGATTTTTTTTCGCGTAAACGGGATTTTGTAGTAACTTATGATAATTTACTCCGCATAAACGAGTGAATTATCGTAAGTTACTACAGAAGTAACGCTCGCGTAAACGTAGTAGCTGTTTGTTCGGCATTTATACGTGATTTCTGATTTCTATTCTCTGTTCCTATTGCCTGTTGCCTAATATTGTGCAAAGGCCTTTAACGGCCGCCACAATCGCGCGAAAATGCATGGCGATTGGCTCCGCGGCGTCACGTGACCCGCGCCGAACAATCACGCGTCCAGGTACGAGATTAGAGGGGCCCCGATTCTTGAATTCATTCGCCAGATAAACGTGTGTGCAAATTCCGTTTTTGCGAAGAATCTACAAGGTTGATTGGCTAAAAGTCATGCGATAACCAATCAACTTGCAACTTTTCTGTAAGAGCGAGAATTTGCGAGCGTTTCTCTTATATACGAATGAATTCCAAGAATCGAACCCCTGCGATCGATGTTCAAAAGTATAAACAAGCGCGAAAATACTCAACGCGTTTGTTTATACTTTGTTCACTTCTTCTTTCTCTTATAATTCACGCATTTTGAATTATAAACAGTGATATATATATTATATCGATATGAAATTAAAGATATTGATTTATACCCCAAAAGTAGCAAGCTGACGTAACTTGTCATTATTTTGTCGTCAAAATGTCGGCAAGATGTCATTTCGACGTTACGACCCGAACTCATTAATAATGCCTTAATATGTAATTTTGGGCGTTTATCGGAACGTATACCTATATCAAAAACAACGTATGCGATAAATTCACGCGAAAGTGTTAACGATTCTGAGTGTGCATTCATATTTAAATACAATTATAAGTAGACAATATTTAGATATATATATTAATTAAGACAGCTATATATATGTAAAGTATTAGATAACGAAGAAACCCAGATAGCACACACGTCTAAAAAGATGTCTAAAAGATGTCTTTACGACGTCTTTTAGACATACGTGCTGTCTGGAAACATATGTGTTAACCATGCACAAAAACTTTCACTATTTTGAAAAATATTTAACATTATAATTAAATGTGAAAGCTGCGCTTTGTTCCTGAAATATCATGCGAAACCTATTGCTCGAAATAGTCGTATTATCGTTGGCGTAGGATTAAAAGCTAGATTTCATTTATGCGCAGTTACCTGGTGAAATGCTGCAGGTGTCTTATAAATTTTCCAGAAACTTGGATTACGAACGCAATTATTTCTAAGATAGATCGTATCTCTGGTAATACCTTATTGAAGATAAGAGATTCAATTAACTATTCTAACTGATTTTCAGTTTCATATTTTGATATTGTTATCAGATAATTAAGAATAAAAATCAGAATGCCTCTCATCACCCACTTGACTCGCTTTCTGTATCTCATCAAGCCGCAACTTTTTTCTGAGTTTTTACATAGTAAATATTCGATAACGAGAACAGCGTGTGTCTGCCACGTAAAAATAATGACGTACGTCATTTAAAACATCGTAATGACTAATCCATTTCAGATTAGATAAGACATGATTTCAACTGCAATATATGTGTATATAGTTTTTTAATGCGCAATACATCTGCGTATTTGTACACGGTTAATTAAATCGAGTATTCGCAAATCGTCGCGTCGCGTAAAAGAGTCACGATCGGTCTCGCTCCGCGTATACTTGGCGCGAGACACTACCGTGTCTCTTGATTAGTTATATGCAAAGTTGACCACGAAAATACTCAAAAACCATTAAAACATCTTATAAGACATTTTATTTTGGATTATTTTCAGACATATCGTGAAATAAAAATTAATGATACCGAAACGCATGAATAACAAGAAAAAAGTACGGAAGAAGAGTTAATATTGCTTGAGATAACTCGGTATACCTATATAATTTAATATTTACGTAACTTTGATAACAACCTATTACAATTTAAAAATCATCAGTTTTGTCGTTAACAAAGTTTACATAAAATCAATTATCTAGCTGGTATATCGATTTGTCAGATAATTCTAGCTTCTATCTCATAGTCTTCCTCTTGTTAACGCGTTTCCAAACAGCTTCGTCTTTAATTTTGTCGTTGTGACATTAAATAATGCAAAATATCTGAGTAGCAAATTAATTGGCAATAAATACATATTTTATAAGCTATGTTATATTCAAATTAGCCATTGTCATATGTAATCGTCATATTTAATCGGTAAATGTTACAGTCAATAAAATATAATAACTACATGCTCCAAAGTCTTATAAAAGACAACTTTCAGAAGTCTATTCAAAAAGTTTTAAAGATGTCCTTAAAACATATTTTAGGCATGCATGTTGTCTTTATCAATGTCTTAACTTTATCATACGCCCCTGCAAATTTTTTGAATATTTTCCACAAATATGAACCGACAAACCTGGTGTCTCACGTCACAAAAGCAAAGATTTCGAAAAACCATTATCGTTTACGATTCGCGCAAACAAGTCGACAAATATGTGCGACGATACACATACTATAGGTATATACATCACGCTCGTACGGATTTTCCGCTTGACGGGGCACGGCGCAGCGAAATTGCGCTGCAATTTTACATTTCTGCAGCGCGTTGCGCTGCGCTGTCCTTTTATCACGCAACCTTTTCCTTGAGCCATATAATTTTCTCGCGAACACCTGGTACGTATGTTATACATTCCTCTACCATTACACCGACGCGCGATGCGTGCTTGTTCGCGCTTACGCAAGCAGGCCGAGGTAGAATTGCGATCGCCAAACAAATACGTACACGTCCCGCTGACCGCTGAGATCGCGTATTTCGTGAAACTTACATCCGGTCTGTTTGATCGAACAAGTTCCTCGTTTCCTGACTCATCAGAAAAATGCATTCAACCGCATTCTCGCGGCCAATAACACGAGGGAAAGGAAGCCGCGTTCGCGAATATAAGCTTATATAATTTTCCGCAACCAATTGCAGTTTGCAGGCCTATAGTTGATGATAAGATCGAATATGTTTAGGACGAATTACGAAGTTCTCTCTTATTTAAGAGAAGACAATACGCGATGTTTTAAAAATCAGATTTGTGTATCTTGAAACGAGGTAAAAATTACAAAAGTAAGAAAATTCACTATAGGAATATATCTATAATTTAATTCTTATGTTGAAGTAAATCCGTTCACTTTTGTAATTTTCACCTTGTGAATTTCACGTACCTTTCAAGATACACAATCGACCTCCAAAATTAATATTCTTTTCTACGTTCCTGTTTTTCAATATTTAGAATGCGCTCGAAACTTCAGAGAGCGCGAAACACGCACCCTACTGTGGAATATTTGTCGTGTAACTATATCTCATGTCGATATACGATCTGGGAGTATTTTAAGCCGAAATTACCGGGCGAGATCGAATAGAGAAGAACGCAAAGGCATCGTTTTGTATATTTTCGCAAATATCGCGACAATCACTTAATGGATACACGTGTGTGTGAGTGTATATCTACCGCGAATGATAAACATATATCATGCGGTTTACGTCATTGGCGTGAGTCATAATAATCCCGAATGAAACACAGTACCAAGAACCGCCTTTATCAATCACCGACGGCAGATACTTCAATTAATTGCTCCTACGTAACAAACATCGTTTCTAATCGATTTTACACTGTTATATAAATTATATATTATATGATTTACGGCGTGGGAGCATTTTAATCCCTTACTATGCAAATTTAGGTGTTTACCTAATACAATCATATTAGGTAAATCATATTAGGGTCGTTATATAAACATAAATAAAAATACATGGTCCGATATTATTCGTGTGTGTACATGCATTTGCGAATAATATTTCAATTTAGATAAATTGATGTCAATTACATTCAAGAACAATTTTATATAAAAAAATGCTTAGGAAAAAAATTATATATATAATTATGTATAAAATATATCCATATATATATTTTTTCCTTTTCTTGTATAATCTCTGTTTGCGCATATACAAGAAAAATAATAAAAAGAAAAATTAAAAAATAATTAAAAGGATAATTTTCGCATCTTTTTTTTTTTAAATAAAAAGTGAAGTTTGAGAAAAAATTGCCCATATATAATTACATATAAACAATTATATATAAATATGATTATATATAGAATATTATGTAATTTAATTGCAAGGACCCCGCACGATTTATATGAAAAAAGTGATATGTCGTATAGTTCTTGTGTCTCTGATGAAAAGTCTCAAAATTTATCAACTTTCTATAATTATAGTTTCTGAATTATAGGCATTTAAAACTCTCCTTCACAAGAACCGTGTCCGTATGTATGTCTATACGAGTGTGCACTTGTGACCGAAAACTTTCATATAAATTGTGCGGGATCTTTTACTTCTTGTAAAAAAACAATGCAAAAGTTATTATTCTAATTATTTTTCTTATATATACGAAAAGAAATGATACAGAAGTTATAACAAAAAAATACATACATATATAGTATATAATATTTATTATTATTATCGTTATTATTATATAACTGTATATAATATAAGATTGCAAAAGTCAACAAACGTAGCGCAATAATAACGCGTCCGCTGCCAGCAAAGTCAAATAACATTAAATCCGTCGATGACGTACGTGGCACGTGTACCTATAAACAGGCCGTGTTCGGTTCTCGGTACGCCGAAAGTCGGAGACGAGACGCTCTTGCGCAATATATTGCAAAGGGATGTTTTCCATATGTCGGCTCGAAAATGCTAATAGACAGAAATTGCGCCGCGCCGTAACAGATACATAAACGCGGAAAACGTGTTCTACGCAGCACGTGGAAAATGCGGGGCGATTGGGTCATATCCAATTCTCATGTACGAATGGCGTTTATACTACGCCGTAGGTTCTAATCGGGTCATATAATAATCACGTGGACGATAGTCGTGTTTAACGCAGGCACAGCCTTGCATTTCTTTGTCCGTGCGAGAGGCCGGCGACGTCGCCGAGAGCCGTCATCGATCTAGCGAGATATATTGTGAATGTCGCGAAATAAGGCGAGCGAGCAAAAAGAATCGCTGACATTCAGATAAACTGTGAATTTCGAAATCCACAGCTGTCCATAAGTATATAACGTCTTGTCGCTTCCCGCATTTGCGATCAGCGACCGCATTTGCAAGATTACATGCCATTTTACTTTTTCGATAACGAAATCCGTTTAGAAATTCAGCGTTTTCGTTATTATATAATGACAAAGAAAGATAGCTGGCGAATAATTTTGTTAATAATAATGTCTAATAAAATTTCGAATCGATACCGACGTAAGTAATCGCAATAAAACACGGATTCGTCGGCGAGACAAATTTCGTGTTGTCCACGTGTTTGAAATTTGGCAATAAGCAGCTGACGCAGTCCGTTCCGTTGGACGGCAATTACGACAAACGTCTCGGCACGAAGGTAAAAGTTATTCGCGCGAAAACTTGCGCAACGCGCAACAAAATATACGTATATAGCGGTTGCTCGTAACGATTTATCGTTTTGGCAATTTCCTGATGAAGAGACCGCTTATTAAAATTTTCCACGACGACCGCGCGTCGCGCTAATTGAAGCCGCGTAATCGCGCGACGTTCAAGGCCATTCGAAATAGCCATCGAAGGACCTTGTTCGCGCGGACGTGTGGACTCTGAAGTCGAACGAAGGTGTTACTCAACGTAGTTTCCCCGCTCGCGAGGATCGATTAAAAATAACAAATCGGCAGATGAAATATTTTTCTCGCATTTTCACCTCCCCCTCTCCGCCCCTAAGCCTCAGGTCCGACCCGCGCGTAGAGCCGGCACTGCCCAACAAAGCACTTCGCGTCGCGGACTCGCCCCCGTATTTCGTGGAAGCGGCCGTTACCGTTGATCTCGTGACGTCAGAGGCAACGTCGAACGTTCACCGCAGACACATTCGCGCGATACGAAACAGCTGAGAATTTCGGGAGGCGCGACGTTTCATCGACCAATCGCACTCGAGCGTGACCTCGACCGCCATAAGCTGCAATCCTTTAATAGTTATTTGTGTAACAAGTGTCGTAAGATGAAAATTCCCGGGTGCGGAGTTTACGCACGAGCCGAAGGCGAGTGCGGTAACCGCACCCGGGAATTTTCATCTTTACACACGACTTACACTCCCTATTTTATGTGGCAAGTGCCTGGAAAGTGGTCTATCACGCACGCGTAGCGTGCGCAATGGGGCACTTTCCATGCACGTGTTGCATAAAAAATATTCCATGACAAGTGTATATATTTTCTACGAAGCAGCTGGCGCCCTTTCTATCCGTATATATAAATACGCACATATGCTATACACATATATGCACATATGCTATACACATATATGCACTACGCGTGGGGGATTATAATGAATAGTAACGAGCGAACCAGTGAACTATACTGGAATGTCGACGCAGCCATGTGCTTAGCGCTCGGGCAGCAAGAAGAAAAAGACGGGTTGATTAGGAAATAATAGGGATTGTTTATGTCTTTGTTTAGCGAATTTTGACTGGTCAATAGGTTATTGTTCTCGAAGAGTACAACAATAGAAAAAAAAAACGATTATAGTTCTTCTGGTTATAATTTTGCATCTTTTCGTCCCGTTTTCTTTTAGACTATTCTAGAGTAAAGTTCACATTCCAACACATTATTCCAGTATAGTTCACTGGAGTGAATGCGCCACGTGTCTCTGAGTGATTTCTTCTGAATGTCGAATGTATTATAAAGGCAACAATTATTTTCTTTGTGCGCGAGTGGCAGACAAAGAAAAAGAAAACAATTTTCAAGCTTCATAAGGAACGTATTTATTTTCAAACAGACAGATCTGTCGAAATTTTGTCGGTAGAAAACCTTAAAATTTAAACATAAAATAAGTCTTGTACAATTATTTTTCGTATACATTGAATGATATCTAGTCATTCGTGCATTCATAATTATTTGAGAAAAGGAGCAACTTCACGAGGCAACTAGTTAATCCGTCGACACCTTCACGTTCCTATGTATCGATAAAATCAAAAGATCGATCGATTACGCAAAAGTGTAATTCTGGATTCAAGTTGAATGTACTGTTTTTGAAATCTATAAAGTTAAATGTCGAATTTAAATTATCGCCGCTGCGGCTAAAGTTCCCCGAATTTCTCTCTTCGTGGGACGCTTTTAATATGTTATTCCTCGAATCGCTTACAAATAAACACGAAATGCGCAAATAATGGCGAAGTAGCGCGGAAAAAGCAAAAGGAAACAAAACGAGGAGAAGAAACGAAAAGCCTTGGGCACGTTATCGGCGCGAGATAATTGCATCCTTGCGGTGCCGCTGTACGCTGTATTAGAGAACTTCAGTCAAGAATGACGGGTATATCGCGATCACGTGGAGAAACGCGTTAAGTATGACAAGCGTGGTGGGCGAGGGATCGAAAGGGTGGGAGAGGGGGGGGGCACGACCGAAAGAGCGGCAGGGACGAAGAGGGGCTGCCGAACGTATATAACCTTACGCTCGCGTCCCACCTCTCAGTTCTACTTGGGGTTCGGATACGTGAAGTTGCCGAACAAAGCTCGCGCGGAGAGAAAGTTTTTATTTGTTTGGTGTGCTCGTTGTATGGGTAAGTGCGAGGAGGCGTCGTTCGATCGGAGGGACGCCCGCGCGGATCTCGATCGACTATTATCGAGATTCCGCGTTGTCGTTACTCCGCTTTTCTTTTTTTTCCCCCTCTTCGAGATCTTTTGTATTCGGACTGATTCGGACGAAAGAGAACGCGCAATTCTCCGTGTCGCGGAAACGCATTTCCCTCTCCCTACCCGCAAAACCGTCCGTGAAGATTCTCACACGCCCTTTTCCCTCGAAGTCATTGTGCCTCCCCCTCGCGAGTCATCGATGACTCTCGTCTCGTCTCTCGTCTCTCGCTCGTATATTCGCTGCCGCGCGCATTAATAACGACGGCGAGTAACGGCGCGGCGCGAACGGAGTTCGCCCGCGCAGCGAATGTAAATAACGAGACGATTGTCCTCGGTTAATCTGCCCTTTCCCCCCCCCCTCCCACTTTCGATTGAAAGGGTCTGGAGGGGGAGAAGGCCGCCTGAATTCCTGATGTCCCCTCGCGTTTTCGCTCGGTCTCTGACCACTTATTATAGCTTATACTTAGCTTGACTGATAGATCCCTTTTGAGGGAGAGAGATATCGGCTCGTTTCCCCATCAATCGTACGGAAGCCTTTTCGCGACAGAAATTCCGCGGGCGAGATTTTCCTCGCGTCTCCGTTCGAGAGATTTTGCGACGCGAGCATACACGGACGGGGAATACGGGGATCCCGCGGATCCCCGTGTCACAGCGAAGGTCGCAACGATCAGACACGTGGCACGCGCCACGTATCTATTTGGTCGTGTATTGATTCGCCACGCGCGTCCTCTGAGCGTACACACACCGCCTAACCGCCATGTTGGATACCGAGCCGACGACAAATCCGATCCGCTTCTCCGGACTCATCTCGCAGATCTTGTCTTATGGCACCGTGCTGATCCGTGTGCTCAAATAGCAGTGGACTTACGGTAAAATCGCGAACGTTTTTCTCGCGCTCGCGCGCGCGCGACCACCCGGGGGGAGGTGGAGTAACGTCGTCGCGTCTTAGCGTTGCGTCGCAGTTGGAGTCCAACTGTGTATTTTGCTCCGAAGAAAATAGTATTTTAAACAGATACGAGATTGTCCCGACAGTACAGAAAGACATCCTTGCAATCTTACTTCTAAAGCGCGCTGTTGAACTTGGTACATTCTGTTCCTTCCCTTCCCCCCTCAAAAAAAAACTCACGCGAGAATCGTGGCCTACTTAGGGAAATAACAAAAATATCTTTGCAATCTTGCTTCTAAAGCACCCCGGACAGCCAAGTCTGTCGAAAACCGATTTTGCTAAGTATCTGCTATCAATTTTGTCGGCACAATAAAGATCAGATTTGATGCCGGTTCTGATATATCACATGATGTCGGCAGAGCGCCAACACAAATGTAACAGAGTCGGCTAATATAATCAGCAGATTGGCGGAAGAAATAAAGCACATCCCGCAGGAACCGTCCATGCTCTGCGCGGTTTCTGTTGCCAATCCGCTGTCTGATTACGTTAGCAGACTCTGCTGACAGAACATAAGCTGAATGCGGATGCAGTTGATATCAGTCTGCTAACTGATGCATATCTCCATATCTGATCAAATCTGTTACCAACTCAGACAACATGCATGTCTCAAATCGGGATATATGACGTCTTTAAGACGTTTTCTGTCCTAATTTAAGACATTGTGTTCACTGAGAATCAGCCGTAATACTCCTATCATTTTTCGTTGTTGGGCTTTCTACATTGTCCTCTTTCTCCCCAGTACGAAGATCTTTATTCTATTTCACTTTAAACACAGAAAAACCTATGTACATAGATATGTAATTAAAGAATAAAAGATAGAGAATGAAAGACGGATTTGTTTTGTATGTTGAACGCAGAGCGAGAGAAGAGTATAAAACACGGAGAGAGCCCTGTAGAGCCAATAAGCAGCTGCAGGGACGAACATGGCTTTGTGCCAACGGTTGGCCGCTGGGGCAGCGAATGGCCGAGTTGACTCGAGACGGCAGAGATATGGTGCCAGCCACAGGGGCAGGCACGCGGGCCCTGGATCAGGGGTGTTCCGCTACCCCTGCCGGTCTGGGCCCATTACGAGTCACCAGCCCTGACCGTCTCCACGGTCGAACAGTACGAGGAATTAGCAGGCAGCGTTGAACTTGAAACGCAACGCTTATTGCGTGAGCATCGCTATGACACTATTGGCAATTTCCTCAGGTATGTAACGCCTTATCTCGTCGTTATTCTTCTGATGTACCTTACCCCTTCTTGACACAATATAAAGTTGCAATGTTGATTACGCAGGTTCTACAGGGACTACACTGCAAGTGGAGAAAGTGCGCTGGATCGATTCTACCGGAAATATCAGCCACTAATAACACACGAACACCATACTTGCGTCGGTCTTGGATTTGAATTATTACATCGATTAACAGGATTGAATAAGCGGTTCCCAGGAATAGCAAGTGGCCTCTACTTAGTATCTTGTGAAGAGGTAAGATATTTCCGAGATATTTTTCGTGCCCTTGTTTCGATACGATAATATATAGCGCGATGTTCGATAATTTGGGAAACCCAGTCTTTTTGTCACCCAATATTTGTGAAACAGTCCAAATTACTAGTAATATTTATGAGAAATATCAATGTTTTGTTGCAGACGATTGGTGATATCGCCGGCTATGTTGGCGGTCCACCAGCGGCAGATAGCGGCGAGAAGGAGCATGTCTTAGTGTGCCTGAAAATCGAGATTGGCGAACGCCGCGGCGTCATGCTACTCGATCCCGGTTACCACGTAGCGCGCGTTATCACTGTGATGGCCGATAAGTTATACCCTCACACGGGCTGGTTCACGCAATCCGATGAGCCGACCTGTAAGAAAGAGTACAACTACTGTCTGTGTGCCGACGATCCCGATTATGTCGAGTGGCACGAGAGAAAAACTCGACCTGGTGCCTTGGAGACGACGCAAGTCGCTCTCATTTATGTGGCAAGGCCATATTTAACTGCCATTGACGTTACGGAACGTAGAAACTTGGTTTATAATCAGAGAAGTCTCCTTGCCAGAGATACTAAGGGTCACGTCACCGCCGGCATATATTTCCCCGTCGTACTAGATATAAACAACAGGCAGACCTTCACGATTTTCTATCAGACTGGAAACGGGAAGAAGCGAGTCAAGATGGAGTTCAACAAGTTCTGTGGTTCGCGTAAGGTACGACTCTTGATATTAATCTCGAGGTTAATATCAGAATTGTCTTCGGGGACATCTTGAAATGTACAGCAGAAATATCCTTTGTTTTCAGATAAATCCTGACACTGAGGAAATGGAGATGATAGCGGAATGTGCTCGACAACTCAATATTTCGCAAGATATCTTGGTAGATATCCTCTCTGCTCTGGCCACTGTCATGAGCAATTCATCATTTGTGGCGCAGCTGTTGGCTATCAACGCGACAATTAACACCTTAGCAGAGGACAATTAACAAACCGAAATCACTCCAACCAATGGAGCGTCGACACAACGTTACGTTTTGTTACTTCTTTTGCCCGCTTTCCTCTTACGTTCTTTCTCTTTTATTATCTCTCGTAGCTTATTTGTTCTTTTATTTGTCATAGTTGCGCTTTGTTACAACGCTTGTATACTTGCACATATACAGAACGAATCACGTGATTTTGCAAACTCCTCACTTTTCAATTAGCTTGAATCTTTTATACACTGATAAATCGATAAGTACAAAGAAAACAATTATTTAAATTTTAAATTGATTTAAGCAGTTGTATACTGCAGAAGTACGTCGATACTTCTGTTAGAAGGATATAATTGTTAACTTATTATTTCGCGTATAAAAGTATTAATCGTCAATCCTAAAACAGACATGATTCACTCAGAATGCATGATTCAGCTTTTATAACAAAGCGTTGCTTTTTTACGATAAGATTCGTAAGATATTTCCGACAATTCTAATATTGTTTTACGTATGCAATTCAATGAGAACATTAACAGATGCGATCGAGTGGTCTAAAATATACACGGTTTTAAACCTGATGATTTTATATATTTGCTTTTTCTCTAGAATGCAACGCGAAGCTGATGAAGCATTTTATTTTTGTAACTAAAAGATTTTTAAATGTTATATTTTGCTTCTTTTTACATTTACTTTTATTCTTGGATATGTAAGTTTTTTGGTTCTATGGTAATATAACAGATCGGTGTGCTAATATTTTCATTGAAAGATATTGGCACTAATGCAGTTAATAGATTACTATTTATGTAGAAAGGACTGCACTGAAATTTATACATTGGTACAAGGGATATTTTCGTTCTGTCGCGTGCGCGCGCCCGCGCACGTCGTTTCTTTAGAATAAAATAATACGTATACCTTTCAATTGTAAACACAAAATTTGACCTTATTTGAATAAATTGTTTGAGGGAAAAAAATATTGTCTTAATAATACCCCACTTTCCACTTCAATAAACACGCCTTCCATCATCGATACGCGGGTTTAGAAAATCGATTAAACAAAACATCCCAAGTTTAGAATACATTTCAAACAAGAAATTTATTTGTAATTCCCTTTACACTTTCGAATATATTTAATTGTACAATAATGAAGCTAACAGAAACTGATCAACTATCGATGGATGTGACATCTTTGATTATATAATAATAAATATAGTATTTTAAGACACAGAATATTATTATATGGAAATAACGTATAAAAAATTGTGTGTACTAATCTTGTTTGATTAACGGCAAAAGTTTGAGCTGTATTTTAAAAGTTTATTTCCTTAACACTCTCGACAACTAAGATTCTATAGATCTACTTAAATAAATATCGGTATATAAAAGAAAAGAGAGAATATTGCTGAGAGCCTTACTGAATTTGGTTTAAATAGTTACATATGTCAAAATAATAATGCTTATTGTGAGCGAATGAGATAACAATTTTTAGAAAAAATAATCCATACAATTTGCTTAGGACGTTAATGATTGTGAAAGAAAATATATTTCTAGTTAGTTTAAAGTAAAGCCTCGTTATATGAGGCTCTTGTAATGGGGATAGAGTAAAGTACGAGTTATGGATAGTAGTTCGAGACATTTTCTATTTGTCGCTAGCGGGAACAGCGTGACGCTTATTACTAACTTGTCTATCCGGCTTATGTTCGCGTTTTCGAGATCCTGACGTAGACGGCGACGTCGGTGATGCTTCTTCAGCTTTCGAAGCTGAATTTGACAACGCTGCGGGTTCTGGAGTTTTGATGCTGCAAGCACATAAATCAATACATTTTTGTATAACATGATAATCGACAAGGGACGAGTCCGATTGAAGCATATGGATAGTCTATAATTCTATATGATAACACTGTTACTGCGAATTTTATTGGGCAACGTTTCGATGCAAAGGGAAGAGAAACAAGAAAAAAGAATGCACAAGCGAGATAAGCGAATCATGCTCTTGCTCTGCATTAGTGTGAAATTACTATAACTTGTTTTTTTGCAAAATTTCTCAAAAATAAAAAAATATGTACCTATATGCACGCGTGTATATCAAATTAACAATGTATAAAATAAAAGATGTATGTCTACAAGCGGATATGAAACAAATACAATATTTATATTTATGTGTATACTTAGTAAGAATTCAATACAACCTTAATATACCACTATTATGCTATATTTAATGTATTAATATCACAACTAGAATCGACTGTGGATATCGTCATTAAATTGGAATTATTCTCTAACTTAAGCGTAGAAAAAGTACATAGTAACACTTCTTTCTATTATAATACAATAGAATTACATTAATTGCACTTCATTTCAAGTAAACGATATACATATCTACACCTTTCTAATATCGAGATAGACATGGAAAATATTACTAGTTGAAACATAAGTGCTTGTAATTACGAATTAGTGCTGAAAATGGAATTGAAACAAACAAAAGGAAACGATAGAATAAAGCGCAACGTACTTACGTTGCATAAGCGTCACTGGTGTATACTATGCTTTTAACTTATTAATATTTGCGGCTGTACCTGCAATACACACATAAGACGGTATATTCTGTATCAATCTTAACAGACTCGCTGTATTATGAATTACGTGTTAGCACATTTTGTAACTTAAGTATGATTAAGACTGCAACATTGATAATAATATTTATACCGTCCGAAGAATGAAACGCGCCATAAATTAATTTAAAAAAATATGACATTAGATAATCATAATTTAACATTATGACAATAAAAATATCATTGAAAATTGTATCCTTACTTAGTATAATAGAGTATAATAAGATATATAATATACTAACAGAGTATATCTATATAATATAAAATATATAATACATATGTTAAATGTTATATAAATAGATATACAATAAGATTATAAAAGTATACAATAGTAATAATATTTTTAAAAAATATCTCAACGTATTAAATGTCTTTCTTGATATATGTACCATATTAGTGTAAAATCTGATTGCACAAAAGAGATATCACTTATTAATATGACGAAACATAATTATTAGAGACTGAGGATTATCTCAATTTATCAATATTTACTTAAGTATGTATATATCTAATACAAGAACACTGCAATGCATTTTTCTTTCTTGTGAGATATATGTACGTATAAATGATTTGACATGAACGCTGACAGAGTTAAATTATGAAGTAAAATAAACTTGTCTTTTTTTCAAATATATTTTTATACAAATTAGAAGTTTTAATCTTTAATGCAGTTAATAGAAACTAAACTTACCTTGAAGAGGGAGACGAACTTTTTGCTTTTAAAGGATTTAACGATCTCATAGCACGTTTAGTGGAAGGTATCCATCTTCTATTAGAATGTCGACTATAAAAGTACAGGACAACGAGACCAATATAAATAAAAGAAACAAGAAACATATTCCAACAAAAGGACAAGTAACAAAATAAAGAACGAAGTTACAAGAGTAAAATAATAATGCTATATAAGAATATTTTATAGATGTAGGTCATTAATTTCCATAAAGATCAACAATTAAATTAAATTTTTCTTATTTGCAATATTAAAAAAGAATTATATATAAATAAATATACAAATTGAGTTTACTTATACCTAATTTCATTCTTATTTACTTATAGATTTAATTTCTACAACTTTTTGTTTTATTGTATAAAATATAATAGAGAATGTGTATATCCAAAAAAGAAATTAAGTAAAAATAGATGTTGCAATATATAAATCCATACATGCTTTTATAATAATATATATATTGAAAAGCAGACATGCATATATTTCTTTCAAAGTTGCATACAGAAAGAATGGAGATGTATAATAATATCATAATATCATGTAAAAAGAGGAGAATATATATATAAAGCATGGCCACACAAAAAATAAAATCTTGTATTTCTATTTATTATTTTCTGACGTGTCTATTTCCAGTTCGTATATCTGCTGTTCAAATATAAATTTTGTCAATACTTTTAAAAAAAATACTATTATTAAAGTTAATTAGTTAATTTTATTTTACAAACAAAATTGTTGCTACAAAATTTAATATCAAATAACGTATAAAACATTTGCTAAGATACTTCGTAGAATGCTCAATATTTGCATTCAGATTAATTTAATTTGATGAATGTATTGTAGCTAGATATATTAATTATTAATTTATATTTAAGACTCTTGAGTACTCGCGGCCATGTTAGATTGTGACATCAGAGACGAGAAATGACACGCTGAGAATTCTTTGCCATTTCCAAATGAAAAGATATTTGCATAAAATAACACTTCAGATTATTTCAGCACACTTCAAAAATACTCCGAGATCTATCCCTTTCTCTTATCAATTAACAAACAGCCGTAAAATAAATGTAATTCGAAACCTAGTCATGCGCCTGCACTGGCCTGCACATAAGCCTACATGACTATACTTGGTATTCATCTTCATTTTACGGCTGTTTATTAACTGTTAAGGGAAAGAGATAGTTGTTCAGAGTATTTTTGAAATGCTGAAGTGATCTGAAGTGTTATTTTATGCAAATATCTTTTTATTTGGAATTGGCATACAAGAATTCTCAGCGTGTCATTTCTCGTCTCTGATGTCACAGTCTAACATGACCGCGGCGAGAGCCCAGAGCCTTAAACAATTTTCTGTTGTATATATCTTCTTTTTTTCTTTAAATAATAATAATTGAATAATGACACTGTACTGTGTAGATAAGAATAAAGCGAGGAATTACGACATTATAAAGCGTATGATCAAGATAAGTGCACCATGCAATTTTATAATTTACCAATGCAATAAAACACGATTTTTATATACCCTACCTTTGGACAAAATTTTACTTATTGCATTATATATTTTTTAGTCATTCTTTTCTAAGGTACTAACCTGGCTGGTATATCTGTGGTGGATGGTAAAGCTAATTGCCTTGGCTCTGGAACTCTGACACTACTAGCAGTACCTGAATTTGCGCCCTCAATTGCACCAGCAACACGACGTGTACGTGATTGCCACTCGCGATTAAAACTCTCTGCTTCTTCTACAATAAATATGAAAACAAACAATTTATTAACAGAAGCAAAATGAGTGTGCGTGTGTGTGTGAATGATTAATTAAGGTCGTTCGTCCCTGACAATACTGTGTCAAAAGTAGACAATTAATACAACACGAAGTCCGACGAATCTGTGCTAGGTTTTTGTAAATATGATTATAGTTTTGGCTGGAATTTTCTACATTATGCATGTATGTATCTTATATATAACAGATATATAAACACTAATATGTGCTATTAGATCTTCATAAGTCTGTCTTCATTAACTGTCATATATTTCCACCGCTATCAGAAAAATTGTGTACTTTACATATCAATTCCTTCAAAACTAGACGATCAAAGGTCTTGTATTTTTGTAAGAGTATTTTCACAAGTCCCTTTTATCGTCTTTTTATTTTTTATTAAACTGTAGGATTAGTATGATCGCTGCAATGATATCGATAGAAATGATATCGGAAGCCGTTTTTGTACCTGCGGTACATATAAAATGTGCTAACTTTGACTTTCATTATTTCAACTTCGGTACAGTCAATCTTTTTCTAATTGTACACGTGTGTGTAAATATTACATTAATATGCTGTTCAAATCTTATAAGATTCCTAATAAAACGGGTTTACAAACAAACTACCTCAGGTTTTCATTATTTTTAAGACTACAAGGAAAATTACCTTCGTCAAGATTAATAAATTCCTGTCGTTCTTCTTCATCGCCATTTCGCAAATTTCGCTCCCTTTCAAGGATATGTGCCCTCTCACCAATATGATGACCAATAGCCAATTTCCTGGTTCCGGTGCGAGAATCGCTTACGGTCTTTTTAGTTTCTTTGATGCCGCCGGGAGCCGTTGTTGTAGACATAGTCTCTTGATAAACCTGTGGCCGACCATCGGGACCACTTGACATGGTCATTACCGATTGGCTCATGAATGAGTGACAACTTCCATTACTTGTCGCCGCCATGTTGTTCTGTACATTAAATATAATTTATAAATTATGTATATCAAAGTTACATAGAGGTAACACAATTTTAAACTGTTAATGATTATTATTATTAATAACTTATATGATCAGTTATCTTTGATTATACTTACAAAACCAAATCTTCCAAAATTAGGATCAAACAGGGCAACTGGCATATTGTTAGGAAGTCCTCTACCATAAGGCATAAGAGCGTTCTGTCCCATCATATCGAACGGATCAGGAAACATGGAGTTCATCATGTTGTTCATCTGCCTCATGGTATTGTGCATGGACGATCTATTGATTATCACAAATTCAAAATTCATATATTTTCATTTTCAGATTTTTACATTTATACATGGCATAGATTGATTGCTATGGAAGTCCGTTTTAATTGACACAAATCACATGTATATTAAAGATAAATAGAAATTAATTACTATGTTGCACTAATAATTTAATACATTATTCTCACTGAATATTGTCAATATTGAAAGCTTTCCAGCAAGTGACACAAGTCGACACAAACGTTTTATCTTTCTTTTTTGGCAATGAGTAACAAAGATAAAATGAGATTTGTGTCGACTTGCGTCGCTTGCTGGAAAGCTTCCATTGTCAATATTTGTTAATTCCATGACTGCAAAACATATTTGTTTACAAATAATCACAATTATAATATAATTATAATAATTTTAAATAATAATTATTTTCTTTATTTTTTTGTTTACAATATAAAATATTGCTTATCATAAAAATATCTCTAACGAATCATTGATTAAGTCTCACATTCACAACAAGAAATAAAATCAGCTCAAAGATTTATATTTTGTGTAAAATATTCCATAAAGTAAAAAAGTAGCTATATATATGTATATGTCGTAGGCAAATGGTTAGGAAAATAGCTTTTAACTAGGCAAATGCTATCTGCCTGGCTTTCAATCAAATGGCTTTCGTTTATTTGTGTTCAAATGCTATTTTCCTAGGCAAATAGCATTTGCCTGAACGCTTTTTAGGAAAATGGAAATAAATTGTAGGTAATTATTCAGAATAGGGCCTTTTCCGAATTTTGATATTTTTTGCGGATCTCTTGGTAAAAATCTTTGTAAAAATCTTTCCCAACAACTGGAAACATAGTGCGCCTTGCAAAGTACATGTGTGAACTTTCCACGCGTGGAAAGTGGTAAACCCATGTGACATCTCATCTCGTGTGGAAAGTGTATACGTGGAGGCAGTAGGTTCGGCCCCCCTGCGGGGGACTCCACTATCGTTAAACTATAGATACATAGGCCACGTTCCGTAACGCGCATATGCGCGCATTTTCTATAGTAAACGTTACGTATGCTATACATAAATACGCGCATATGCGCGTTACGGAACCCAGGGTAAGTGTGCCTTGCAAAGTATATACATACGTGAACTTTCCACGCGTGGAAAGTTGTAAACCCATGTGGCACCTCGTCTCGCGTAGAAGCAGAAATATGATATAGTGGGAAGGTTCGCGAGTACTTCGGTTTACAAAAATATTTTTTTGATCGCAAATTGTTGAAAACAAGATTTTTTTACTCTGTACCTTTTTTTGAACAAACTATGACGTAACTATATAGGTATTCTTAAGTTGAAATTTCTGAAATATAAATGATCTATTTTCTATTATAAAATTATATTAATATTTGCCTACTATTACGTTCTGTAGTAACTTACGATAATTCCTTCGCGTAAACAAGATTTTCCTTTGCGTAAACCGGATTTTGTAGTAACTTACGATAATTTACTCCACGTAAACGAGTGAATTATCGTAAGTTACTACAGAAGTAACGCTCGCGTAAACGTAGTATACGACATATATATGTATATTTATATATTGCATTTACATATTTAATGCTTGAGTGTTACCTATTTTAAGAATTAATTTGATCTTACATATTTAAAGAAATCTAAACGATATGCCTTTGTCGTAGATAAGTGACATTTAATTTCGAGGCAACACACTGTTAAATTCTAGCGATGCATCTGACAGGTCCCAAGAGCCATTGCTCCCAAATAGTACTGCGATCCTTCCAGAATGACATACATGTATACATATTGATACATACCGTGAGAAATTATGGTGGAACTTACCCAAATATATTAAAGAGATCATCCTCGTTCATGAACGATCCAAACATCGACATTTTGCGGGATGCCTTGGTCTTGGGATGCTCGGGGATTCGAAAAATTCACCTGCACGATCAATAGAAAGTGGATTTTCGACTCTACGCGTAACGTATGTACGAGAACGGCCGAAGATCGCGACCGAGCGTGAGCTTGAGCGCCCCTTCGCTCTCGTGGAAATTTCCAGAACTGGGGCTCGATTCTCTAT